TAAGGATTACCAAGGTAGGTTAAGAGTAATAACAAACTGTTTTTGAATACACAAGGGGGGTTAAGTTTATGAATGTCTATAGCCTCAGCGTATTTCAGTAAACGTCCTTGACCGTTTTTATAGATGACCTTAAAGGCTGAGTTACAGTATAAGAGAGGCTTGGTGAAGTGTCTATTTAAGAGGATTCAGCGTATTTGCACGGCTGATGTCATAGACAAGGAAAACGAAATATTGATGGATACTCTTGTTGAAAACGGATATCCTTTGAAGCTTTTAAACAGGTGTAGAAGTCAACCAGCCTCTAAACCTACAATTCATACCGTCCCTAAGAAAAAGGTTTTCATCAAATTACCATATAATGGGGAAATAAATAGTAGGATTTTGAGACAAAGGTTGAATTCCATCATCCGTAGAACCTACTATGCAGCCCAGCTTGTAATTGTCGAAAAGGCTAAAAATATGCTTCACTGGAAACCTCAAAAGTGCACAAGTGATTATATCACATCCCATACAATTTACCAATTTTCGTGTGTGTGTGGACATACATACATAGGGAGGAGTAATCGCGCGTTGCACGTGAGGGTGGGAGAGCATATCCCAAAGTGGTTAGGAAAACAGATGAATTGTGACAAGCCCATAGATGCAGGTGCCAGACTACCAAGTTCGTCTATAGCTAAACATCTAATCGAGATGAACCATAAGGTTGATGTTAACTCAGCCTTTAAGGTCATCTATAAAAACGGTCAAGGACGTTTACTGAAATACGCTGAGGCTATAGACATTCATAAACTTAACCCCCCTTGTGTATTCAAAAACAGTTTGTTATTACTCTTAACCTACCTTGGTAATCCTTATTTGATTGGATTACCAAACGTTTGTGTTAATTATTCTTAATTCTTTTTTTTGTCACCTTGTTTAATTTAACCTTTCCATATATATTGACTTGACAAGTAAATGTGTGATCAGATTGTTCGAAATGTATAGCGCTAATACATCACATTTTTCAGATAATCTCCGTCTTCTAATAATGCTATCAAAATTTATAAAAGGGACTAACTGTTTTAAATCAACCAAATCCCTACAAACCAATACTTAAATAGCGAAACTTCAGTAAAAACTACGGCGGTATCGTTTTGTTTTTCATTCATTCGTTGGGAAATACAAGAAAACCTTTATTATGACACGTCTATACTACTTTCATGTTAATCAGTAAGTAATATTGACAGATGAAGTAATTTCATCCTATATTTCAACTCATCATCAGTTTTTTTCCCACATAGTTAATTACTTACTACAGTAGTGTTACACATTCATTTGAAATAGCATCCATTCACTGTCAAACTACGGCATACTTGCTGTAGTATTTTGTGTTAGACAAATTTCCTTCTAGATAAGAAACACTTGTGTGTTAACCAAAATCTTGCCTGTGTGTACGTATATATTTGTGCCTGGCGCGTGTGTTTTTTATTCCATCAACATACACGGAAAAAAACTTTTATTATTATTATTACTATTCACCTGTTTTATGTATTTTTAGAAACATGAAATGTTTACATCCACTGTAAACTTGGAGGTTCTTTTTTTTGTGCATGTCAATCAGAAACGCGATAGAAGAAGAATGAAACTGGTAAGTGGGGAAATTTGATTGCGCTACTTTTACAGAATTGAATTATTATTTATTGATTTTTTTGTCTTTACTATGTATAAGAGGATATTTGAAAAGGGCATTCATTCTAGCTGGGCGTAAAAAGCAAATAGGATTATTTTTTCAAAGAAAAAATCAAATAACATCTTTGAAAATTGGGATTGTACTGTGGTGGTAGTAGTAGAAGTAATAGTGGTGGTTTTTCTCTGGAGTGTTTCGCCATCTTCCGCTCGTTTCCTTCCTCCCTCACTCTCAAAAAAATCACATCTGTTAGATATATGTGTACGTGATTAGAAAAGAGTTAAAAATAGCAATTTCGTCTTCATACGTTAAGTTATATTTTTTTGATTATTGGGATGATGGCAAGTCCGAGAAACTAGTGTAGGTTATACAATCTGATTAAAGCTAGATATTGAATAATAATATGTTATAACTGATGGGCTTCGCCAAGTCAGGGAGTACTGGAGTACAACTGTTTCGTCCTAGTTTTAGACTCTTCAGCAACATGTACTCATGACCCTATTATTATTATTATTATTTTTATTCCCATGGGTTCCAAGTGGAACATAGGGCTTCAACAACACATTTTCACTTGCTTACATTTTCTACTGTTCTCTTCAGTTGGCTAGCTCCACGACTGTTCACTATCTAACACCTCCATGTCACCCTCGCACCGACTACCCACTCGAGCAATGGCTTGCGTGCATTGCGCGCGATATCATTTGACGGTCTCCTCAACGTGTATGCCCGACCAACGCATCTCCGTTTATCTCTCACATATTTTTTGAGTAATCGCCACTCTCTTGTTGGTTTGTTCCAGTGCAGGGTTTCTTGTTGCTAATTCTTTCTGGCCAGTTGGCCATTTGATCTTCATTACAGAGCTATCGAAGATCATAAAAGTCGAAAATGAACGTTTGTCATTGAAACAAAGGAATAGAAGAAGAAGAAAAGAAAATTGTGATAGGAATTTATAGTCTTAATGTTTATGGAGGATTTGTTGACTTTATTGTAGGCCAAGGTAAACATACAAAGAGTTGGTCTTCTGGTATTTATTGCCACCGCTTCAGCTACTGATAGAAGACGCAGTCGAGCTCCTCTAGATAAATTACTAGGAACGCAGTCAATAACTGAGAACGCCTGGTCAAGTTTTATCTGGTGTCCAGTATCTACCAAGTGGGCTAAGACTGCACTATTTACACACTTGGTTACTCCTTTACTCAACCATACAGGTACATGTTCACGTGCGCTCATGGGGAAAGCCCTCTGAGTA